GGGGGGGGGGTTGGAGAAAGGGGAGCGCTTGGGACGACGCTCAAAAGCAGAGAGAAATTGTGTACTACTGTGATTATTTGTTTGAATTCTCGTTTTGGTTTCGTGGGCGCTTGTCTCCGCCTCTCAGCTTCCACTGTGCAGGGGGGCATGACCTTGGGGCCCTGGCAGTAATCCCCAGCCCTTCTCTACGTCGGCACTACATATTCTGCCTTAGTATTATGTCTTATTTCGACTTCAGGAAGACTTGGGGCGCTGTACATTGCTATTCAAGGAATTCAAGGAAAGAATCACATGGCAAAATGCACATTGCAAGATGTTGCTTATTTTAGCAGAATCGGGCCGATACCATTGCATTTTTTGTTATAGGTTGGACTGATTTTTGGCCGTCACTAAATTACAAGCTTCCGTAACTATTTATTGCTTCTATGTACATTATCTCGAAAATGTGGCGTTTTATCCCCTCTCCGGATGGCTTTGAAGAGGTTCATGCAAATGGGAATCTGGCATTTGGGCATTAAGAATGGAAAATTAAATATTTTCTACTAGAAGAGTACCTAATTTGGGCATAATTGTCAACTGCCTCTATATTCCATCCCAGGAATAGTGGTTATTGGGTGTTTTCATAGTAGGACTTATCAACCCACTTAATCTATGCCCTCCCTGGAAGTACTTGTAGGACTTCATAGCGGAGATTATGGTGATACAAATTTTAGCTGTTTCTTGAGTGTGGATGATGCTAACGTGCAATAAGTTTTGAGAGACTGTCTCCTTATCACGTTTGACAGGTTGCTGCTATCAACTGAGCGTAGGAATCGTAAGATCGGGCAGTTATGTGTGCTTCTTTATTAGGTAGTCATTTGGGTAACTATACCAAGGTGGATACTATGCTACACCAGCTTCACGAAGACAAGGATTGTGAGCTAGCTGTTGCAATATGGTGCTGTCTTACAAAAATTACACAAAACGCTTCAAAAAGGAAGCCCTTCATGACAAAATCAAGGGCTGTATGAGGAGGTGGGACACCACCAGGAAAAACTCTATTGAAAGCTAACTTTACTTTCTAGCGTCAACAAACAGTTCAAGCAAGGAGATACCAACTTTGGTTTCGCGATCTCCGCGACACAGGAGTGATTTCATGGACTTTTAAGATGCAATTGTTTTTGAGTCCAAACATGGCGGACAATCAAGATGATGTTGGACACCCGATCGAAGTGTAAAATATTTAGAACGAGGTGTTTGAACTCTACAGAGCGTTGCCTGTAGTTAAAAGACGGCTAAGCTGTTATCTCATGCGCTGTTGTAATCAAAATGGGGGATTATCACACCGGTGGCTGTTGATATCAGTTGTGGTTGATTATGCACAACGATGAAGGCAACACTTTTATTAGATAATTCTCCTTTGTGTCCCATTACCCTTCCGCATTTATTAAGAAGTGATATTGTCGCTCTGATCCAAGCAAAAAAAGCAGCTTACTCTTAGTAATCGCAACCCAGAATTAATCCACTTTGATGCTTCCAAGTTTGCTGCAACTTTTAGGGTTGCTTCCTTTTACCACTGCAAGAGCTTTTCTACTGATGTTGTTCCAGTAGCAGCTATTAATTTGTTGATTTTCGACAAATGAGTTGACTTATTGAGAAGGCAATGGTTTTAATAAGATGCGTTCCTTCAGATAAGTCAACTTTTTACAGACGGAGGATTGAGGGCATTACCACAAGGTGGCTTCATCTTTCCAGGATGTACTGCACGGCTAGTATTATGCTTATCGCAGGCATCGTTTGCGTAGCGGCCGAGGTCGCATCTGCATCTGAAACAGGAAAGGTATGGCATAGTTCAGATTACTTTTAAGGTAAACCAAGAGTCGTCTGTTCTTATAGGATTGGTAAGTTTGATTAGTCATCAACCAATAAATTCAGTTCCAATAAGCTATCGAAACAGTAGATGAATGAGGGCATAAAATTTCTATTTATCTATGGTGGGCTTCAAGCACCGCAGTACGGTTGACTAAACATTCAGCATTTGGGCATTTCAGTGATGTAAACACTTTACAAAAGGTCAGCTGTTGGTGTCGGTCCCAGTAGTGAGCACGGAGAGCACACCACACCTAAAAAGCCTATTGAATGAAGAAAATATACAAATCGAAAGCCTTTTTGAGGAAACGGTGCAAACAACGCAACCATTTTCTGAAATTTTCATCTTCTAAGTGTCGGCACTCCCGGAGTACCAGGGTATTGATGGAGATGAGTGTGTAGATGCACCAGGGAAGTGTTGAAAAGGTGAGGGAAGTTTAAACTCTGCAAAATGTGTTTGCTCCGCCAATGACTCAAAAGTCCCAGTTTAGCTTGAATGTTTCACATTAATGTCTCTTTCACGAGAGAACTTTTTCTAGTTATCATGCAGCCGAAATCTTGTATCCCAGAAGTAATAACTAGGAGAGGTGGGAGGAATCCAGTTAGCCTCTCCTACTCACACAAAAGTGGCAATGCAAAACGTACAGAGGACCTTGGTGATGAGCGGTTTTTTCTTCTCCCGAAAATGCGAATATCCGTAAAGCGAATCTTTGGAGCTGTCTAAATTATACTGATGGTCCAGGATTGGCATTGTAGTTGTCGTCTGAAGAGGCAAATTGAAGAAAGCTACAAAAAACCAAACTGTTATATACTTACTACTCTATTTTTATATGCACTTGATTTGGAGAAGCTGATATTTTTTCCGATGAATAAATAAATTGTGGCACAACTACGCTCCCCACCTTCTGTCTGGTAGGAAATAAATGAGTAAATAAACAATAGCTATTCTCCTACCTCCTACACCTCACTATTCCAACCCAAGTCTTCAAATAGTTTAACTTAATCAGGCATCCCACTGAGTCCGTTTGGCTTTTATAACATTAAAATTTGAATAATTACGAGAAGCAGGAAGGCTTGAATCACATCAGACGTAATTGACTCTTCATTTCGGTTTCATGGGCACTTTGAACTTTCGCTGGACGACATGGCAATCGGGCCATGCCATGTAGCCCCCCTTTTTTCGCCTTCAGGAAAGACTTGGGACGCTACATTAGTGACTGTGGAAGGCGAATCCGATTCTAAAGGACAACTATCTCGATTCCTATTTCTGAATGCTAAGCCTTAACGTGACTGAAGAATTGTATGTACCTTGGATGGAAGAATCGGTGATAAACTCGGACAGATGGGCTGAAATAGAAGTCTAGTCCCGTCAACTACCATAGTCCCATGCTGTACTCGAATGTTATTAACAACTGAACCAACACTAGCTGTATCCGTAAATCATCTGCAAAAGCTTGTTGCAGAGCTGTCTACAGTACCTGCGTGGAGATGTCGCTGAGGTGATCATGCGGCACCTCCTCCACCTCTCTCCTAGTTGGGCACTACTGGATTAAGTACAAATCGACAGAGGGAAATAGACGCCAAAACTTATTCCCACGAAATCATTTCTAACCCCATCCTTTAATCACTAACTCTGCTATTAGGCCAGCGTTCTTACCACTGGCGATGGCTATACGAGAGGGACGGCTCATTTACCCTTCCTTTAGTACAGATCTAGTGGGAGCGTCATGATGGAGCAGTGATGTTGCAGTCAGAGAACTTCTTAGTTGCATGCAAATTCGATAACTGGCACAGGTGGTTTGTGAACGTTTTTCGTGAGTCACCAACTATGTTGTGATGGCCGACTGGGGAGGTTGACCAAGGGGAGCACCGTGGACGACGCTCACAAGGAGGGGCTATGTAGTACCTTGGTAATTCGTTAACCTCTTCGTCTTAATTTCATGGGCGCCCGATGCTTCGCCTTTGTATTTTAACTGGGCAGGATGTCCTTAAGATCATGGTAGTAGCCATCAGTCCTTCCCTGGGTTAGTAAAACAATTTCTTCCCTAGTATTGTGCCTTCTTTCGTCTTTAGGCAAGACTCAGGGCTCTGCAGTGAGACTGACAGCCTGACACATTTCTATGCGCTACAATGGATATCAATAAACAATGGCATGCAGTTTACGGGCTCCGACAAGGTGGGGCAAGTCATTGCACCTGACAGTGCCGAAAACTGCGCCGACTTTTTAGCTGCCTGATAACTCAAACATATTGTTGGCAAAACCAGACAGATAAACCCGTACATGTCCAAGTAGTAATTTGTTTGTCAGTCGTCAACTGCAGAGCTTTCACCTAGTTTGCGGTGGTGTGACTTTTGTGACCTAGGAGCATAAAGCCCGTGGCACTGCCTATATCATTATCCTTCAGATGAATGATTAAAAGCCGCCATGCAATCAAGTCATGCGCAGGCACACAACGTACGGTCGTTAAACAATCGCATAGACTGTTCGGATTCCGCAACGTATCCTACAGTAAAAGAACATATGTCACAGTACGTCAAAGGGGATTGCAGCAGTCAAAAAAGGCGCTAATCGTGATTTTCTGGATAGTTTTTGGGAGGTTTACACCATATATTAACATTATGAGGGCGTGAATCTGCCATAAAACCCTCCCATCATTACAATAATTTAAAATTTGCCCAACACTTAGCAGTCTTGATGAAATATGCTGTCGTAACTGATGAGTAACCAGATATATTGTGCAGCCTCGTATGAGATCGGTAAGCCAGAGGACATACTCTCAAGGGTTGTGCTGGCCGCATGCTTTCCCATCATCGTGATCATGCCGCATGTATAATCGCCGAAATCCTCCTCCGTCAGCCTCAAGATATGCAGCTTCGATATAACCGATGGCCACCGCTCCTCATGTTTTTGACGAGAATCAACTGCATGAAAACAAAAAAAATAGTCCGGGAAATTTTTCTTTTCTACAAAACTAAGTCTTAAATAGCTGATTTCCTTAATAAGTGGGTTTAGGAGTTCATGCTTGAAATCGCGCTCCAAGTCCTTTTAATTTTTCGGAGTAAATTTTCGAGCCCATCATCACCCTTGTTCAGACAACTGATTTAATTTGTGAGCAGCACAAACAGCTTTTCAGTGTAGGAAAGGACTTTATTTACCCAGTAGTAAGTGTAATCACTCGCCCAGACACCTCGAAGTACCGACGGGTTTTTGGTTACCAGAAGCATGTCTACATCGGTTGGTGGTTTTGAGAGAAAGTTCACTTTCAACGGATGGCATAATAATGCAAAACGGAGGTCGGGATCGGAGTTTACGTGGCTGTAGCGAATTAAAATTCATGTAAGCTCTCCCCATAACGAATTGCTGTTACGTCACTCTGTTGCTAAAATGCATTGTATACCACAAATTCTCTAGCCAGACATTTGGCAAGCACTTCATCTAATAATTGTATATGGATGAAAGGAAATGACACCAGAAATACCATTGGCGTCAAATGTTGGTTCAAATTGTAAATAATTTGAAAAAAAGATTACACCAGTCAGTACAGATGTTGAATTTGTTTTCAAGGAAATTCATAAATGATGCACAAACTGCTACCAACGCCTTGAATTTGGTATCTGCTATCTGTCACCCGTGGTCGCCGCAACACCACCATTTATTTAACAATTGTCACACATGTTAGGTCTAGCAATGGAAGTACTCTATCACCTGCATCATTTATCACCGGTATGTAAAACACGTGGCATCACGGTTTATCGACTGAGTGGTATTTGTTTAAGTGCATCTTCAACTAACCGGGCCGTTCATTCTCCCCGCTGGTGACAAGACAACGTGCTTATGACACTTGCGTAAACTCTCTCATCCCGTCCGTCATTTGTAGCGAGGTTACTTGCAGACTTCGTTGCACTTTACAACGTCTTCAGTCATAAGAGCTTGAGAAGTGCGACAGTGATAAGTGACACCAAGTCACAAGAATAACACCCCGGATTTCGCTGGTCGGACATGACACTCACAAGTCACATCAGAATCTGCGCAGAAGCACAACAGAAGAACTGCCAACATTGTGTCACCTTTTGGGAGCCATTCCGACCTTGAATTCTGAATGCTGACTGATAATGTTACGGGATCAACATAGAAGAGAGGGGAAAAGTTTGTAAAAGATTTACCTAAAATATTTGCTCTAAAATCAGTGAATTATGAGGACTTAGTACACGAAGATGGGACCGGGTCAGATGGGTGACTGGGCGGCTTAAAACGGCGGTATATTGTATACAGGATAATTTTATAGCATTTATTTGACCAGAGTTTTGGGCAATGGTAATTGTTTTCAAAAGAGACCATTGCCATTGAAAATGCCTCCAAAACGTGACGAATGAATCCTTTGCTAAGGTGGTTTGCAGTTGAAACTTGACTTTTGGGCTACATAGGTCCTTCCGAGATGACTTACACGCTACAGTTTCATTACCTTCTCCTTACCCTCCAGGCTTTACCACGGTAGGTTTCTTCATAAAACTACTAAATAAATTCATTTTTGTTTAAGAATTTGGTAATATTAAATAAAATAAACTCACCGACACAGTACTTGACGGCCTTGTTAGTGAGAATGCTGCAGGAAGAGGCGTTAATGGGAGTCTTAGCTTTCCCGAAGGTCCAAAGAACAATCCCCATGGGATTAGCATTCACTTGACACTGAAGAACAGTGTCACCACCTAGCGATTGTTTGATCAAGGAATTCGCAACTTGAATCTCCGGTGGAACTGAAAGGTTAGAAATTTATGAAATTCCTTCGGCAATTGAAGGGCACTGCGACTGGTTGTCTTAGTATTTTAATTCATTCATCAGGACAAATCGTACTTTTTTGTCAATCTGATTGTCGTCTCCTAGGCTTACTTCAGAGTCAATATTGTGAGACCACTAAGGAGCATCCAAGTGCCTAAACGAAACCGTAATACCAAGGTGACTTAAATCGTCCAGGAAGATCTTACCTGTTTCATTACATTTCACAATAACTCCAGGGGTCAATTCAAATGATGCTGCACTCAAATGGTGTCAGGGTTAGCATATTTCTCCCTAACTGCTCCGGAACATTCCTTCCCAACAGTACAAACTTAAGTTGTTTGCAATGCTTTTGCGACCCCGATTTAGCATTGATAATTGTGTAAAATTAGTGCTTTCATTTTTGACCTTAGTGAATGGTTTACCACTTTGCAATAAAGGTATTCAGTTACCCCTTTTTTTAATGACATCCTGTATATACCAATTTTGAGGCTTCGGTTAGCATAATTAGAAGTCAAGTTTTTTTTTCAAGAAAAAGAAATCATGTAAGAAAGTTTATTATGCTAAAAATAGGATTATTTTAAGAAGGTAAATAGATCTCTTGACTCTAGTTTTAGTGTATTATTCAACCATCGAAGGACACAGGCGGCGTAATTCAGTAAATACGAAGAGTTCGGTGAGGAGTCATTTCCAGTGAAAGTGGAGAATAATCTCCTTTTGGTATAGCCATCCGCTATATTTAAAGTATACTGGCTTTAAATGCATTCCAATTCATTATCTTGACATTTGGGGCCGGCCGTGGTTCTACCAAATGCGCTATTTCATCTCGTCTGGATCGTCACATCACATTGTCGGTGCATCTAACAACCCCATAAAAAGAATATCACATGCCCACTAAAAATATGTTGATTTTAATAGTGGAGATACTACTTTGTCTTTTGCGAATAAGAAAAGGTCTGACTTACATCGTATATCCAGCCGCATTTTGCGAACAGCCTTTGGTTCAACTCCATTCACTGCTTGGCAGGCTAACGTTCCACTCATTTGGCGATTGATCTGTGATATTTGCAGGTAGCCATTCATTTCGACGAAATCTAAAATGCGGTCACGATGTCACAGCAGTGCATTACCCACTATCCCTGGCTTGTCTGTGTGAATCCAAGCGCAAGTTACGGAGGGCTTATCTTACTCCCAAAACCCAATTTAGTTTTGTTTCGTTCCCTCAACTAGCTGGTTGTGGGATGTAGTATTGAAAATGTAAATTCCCGCGCTTCAGAGGGTTTTTTTTGCAGTCAAGAGGTGAGAGTGGTAGCACTTATTGGCAAATAGCAAGAAGGCCATAAGTTACAACTTAGTCACGCATCTGTAAAATTCGACTGTTTGATAACCTCCGAGGACTACTTCTGGAGACAGCTGTTCTAAATTAAAGCAGGGACCCGAATGATGCCATAGCCTTTAATTGCTGCGGTGTTGCTTCAGACCTTGGGGTTTTATATATTCGATGTTCAATTTTAGGCAAAAGCCCTAGCACAGATTATCCAATCTAACACAGCTTCAAACGTTCCAGTTGCCTGTTGCAGTTGAAGGAAGGCGAGGAAGTGAAATTGCAACGTTATTTTTCTGGTTAATTTGACCAAGATTAACTAGTCTTTCTATGAAAAAAGTAAAGTGATTGAATTTGGTTTAGCTGAAAACTAAAGCTACTTCTTTTGACGTATCGCCGCATCAGTTCCTGCTTTAATGGCAAGACGATTTCACGAAGGTAAAGCTGCTTTTTAGCTCAGTGCTCACGTCTACAAATTACTAAATGCAAGTCTGCCGTCCTGAGTGTACAGCAAATAAAATTCACTTATGTTTGTTTACCGTGTCAATAAATTATCAACATCGTCATTAAACAATTATCACTACAATTGTCTAGTCAGCGGTCTGTGTTGGCCCTTGCCACGTCTTGATGCGATGGGGTGCTAAAATCCAGCTTACCTACGCTCAGGCTCTTGAGCACATTGCGTGCAAGCTCGAAGCCGTCTTTGGTGAAGCGCAACGGCAAGATTTGGATCCCTCCTTTGGCCACCTCCATGAGCCATGTCACCACCGGGGGTGGATTCCCCTCGGCAAAGCAGGAGACTTGCAGGGCGTCTCCCTCCACCACCTTCAGTATTGGCCCAGGTGCTTTGGTTATTCTGGGAGGTACTAAGGGGAGAGAACGCTGGTGTGTTAGCAGGGATCATTCATTACCCCCTTTCCGGAGTTGATTCTCACAGAGATACTTATTTTTAGATGTCGTAAAGCATCCCCATAAATTGTCACCCCATTACTGTGTAATGCTGACATAAAGTGGCTATTACTCAGACTGTTGGTGGTCTATTTACTCGAATCTATACTTCAAAGAAAGGGAATTGGCTGATAACATTTGTACAACTTCATCTGGAAGGACTAAATATTAAAGTAGGGCCTTAGTTAATGTGCAATATATGTTTAGCAAGCGTCAAAAGTGATTTTACTAAAAGATAGTTTACAACAGGATGCTCGTCACTATATGGTCTTCCGCTGCTACTAGTTTTCTGCTCTTCCGTAAGTCGATAATAAAGCTAATCCTGAGTAACTGCATCTGAGAGAATCCAAGGCATACAGTTTAGTGAGAATAAGGGAAAACTTACAAAGAACGTTCAATCGGTAGGTCTTGGACTGCGTATCTCCACCAATCGCGATGGAGCAACGATACATCCCATTATCCGCCTTTGTAACCGGATAAATCAAAAGGTTGAAACCTCGTTTTTTCAACAGGGTCTAGGTAGGGAAAAGTTGGGAATGGCTGTAGGAGGACGAGGGAGGGATCAACACATTGGCGGAAATAAAGCAAAATTGGTGCGTATCGCAAATGCCCTCTACATCAACGGCACCGGAAACATTGAATGCATTTTTCCCTACAAACCGATTGGTTTGACGCCCTTAGCAAAAAGTGGCTCTTGAATAAGTATTTCGGGGGATGAAATTATTTTCAAACTGTTGAGTCGATTTATGTAGAAACGAGTTCAAAATCTATCACCGAAACAAACCTCTTAGTGTACATGGGTCTCTCCTACAAATCTACATTTCGTATGGATCAAAAGAGCACTCTGTTGATGACTGAGGTGGATTCGATAAGAGTGGGTGGTGGGTGGGCACTACAATATCTCAGAAGACGTACCGGTGGCACAATTGAAATTCTCTCATCCTCGGTTACTTTGTACATACCAAGGGAAAGAATTTGACGCGGTGCTTTGATCCACGACATTGCATCCAATTCCTGAATAAAAAAGACTGCACTCGTTTTCAGCATTGCATTAACCGAAGAAAGCAGTGCGGAAAACTTCTTCACTCTACCTGGTGGAGACGCATTAAAGTTCTGTCGTTTTTATTCGTCTTGCTGCCCTTGTGATTACGTGAAATTTTATTCGCTTAACTGATTGGGAGGATTTATTAGCCTATTTTAAATAGATTGAAAAGGAAGTTTCATGACCTCCATAGCACTATTTTCCCCAACTAGACATTGAGTAAATGGAGATGATGTCGGAGTCGGGTGCTACAGCTTTCATGGAAGGTCAAACGGACAGTAGTGTCCCAGCCTTGTTAACACAGTAACAGCTTTAGGCCTATTTTTAAGCGTGATAAAGCGCTTTGATGCCTCATTTCAAGGCGGAGGTACTAACCACTCCTCGTTGGTTGTAAAGAAAGTCCCCTAAAAGTCCATTTTCGGTAGGCACTTTTGAATGATCCAAAAACTTTAGTAAAAATTTCCCTCTGAAAATCACTCCCTCATGGTCAATAGCATGGAAACCTTAGAGGTGGTCCTAAAATTTCATTTTTTTGTAAACAAGTAAATTTTGAGGTAAAATTTATCGTGTGCCATCAAGACGTTATCTTTTTTGAGATCTTTGTTTACCAGTTATCCATATTAAAAATAACCGGATCTGCACGGTCCCTCTTTAACACCCCTATTGGATCTATCTAGGTGAGATGGGAAACTTCTACTGTATAAAACATGCTTAAAGATACAATAGAAAGCCTTCCATTGACAGTGGGTGCTGAGTTAATCAAAGGGGTAGTCATTCGGGGCATAGCCATCGAACTTTACTTCTGCTATCCCCGTCTTAACCGAATTAACTTGATAGCTAACTGCCGCCGAGGCTAGGCTTGCTTGAAGGATTAAATGGTGGTAATGTGGGATTCCAACTAAGAAATATACCCAGCCATCAAAAACCGCCCGTGAGCGTTTAATTGGATGCGATGAGACCATTTCGTCCACAAATTCTTGGCCCACCCCCCACCCATTTAAGTCGCCATGCCAAACGGTGATGTTGTATGCTTCGCTCCAAATTAAAGAAAAAAGCAACATAATTGCCGTAGTTCCTTTTGCCTTTCTAAAGATCAATTCCGTAGAAACGCCATAGACAAAGGCATTGGGAGTCCTTGTTTTTAAAATTTAATTGCTGCTGCTGTTTCGGGGTGCGAAGAAAGCCGCGAATTCCTCAGGATTTACAGTACCTGCATTATAGTGTCAAGTGTTGATACAAATTTATTTCAAACCTGGCGTCATACTAGATTGCGTGATGTTCTTTTAACACCGCCTTAAAGACAAAAACTAGGCGCCTTGAGGGGGCTGCAGACATGAAGTCCTATCATAACCGATTTGGGACAGAGTTATTTCGGAAAGGCGAAATGCGAGAAGTGGTTCAACAAACCTCTTCCTTCTCCATTTCCTCTGGCATTTTGAGAGGCAAAAAACCTATTCGACCAAACATTTTGCTGGACAATAAATAAGGTGAGGACTCCGGCTTCAGTCATCTTCATCGAAGTCATTTTAAACTTAACACTTTCCGGGCAATAGTTTTAAGGTGCCCTTTGCACAACACTTCTTAAACGTGCCGAGAAATTTACTTGGTGTTTCACGAAGGCAGCAAGCAGCTAGAGGAGAGTGTCTATTAAGTTTTGAAAGGCAGTTTATGGACAATAAGGCCAGATGCCTTATCACTTCACGGCATTCAGAGCTAGTCAGACCATGACCTAAGCTAGCTCTCGATGTCAAATCCACGACGAAATAAATTGAGGCTACATTACGCCACCAATGCCAGTTACAGCCCCAGGAGTTTGCACCATTCATTCCGCGTAATGGAACATGAATTTCAATAAAAATCAACTCATAGGTCCCATATTTTAAACAAATTTAGAATTAAATAGTAACAGGAGGCGTGCTGATACTAGAGTGGTGACTAAAGTGTGCGGAAATTAAATTCGAATCAGGGATTACCATCATGCAGTTTATAATTTACGACCAAATTTTACCTTGTGTGTGAAACACTTTATGCCGAGGTCGCACTCTATGACCAGAAATAGTGCTTTTGGAAAGTGTTAAAAATAAAAATCGCTTTGGTTCACGATGGTCTTGATATGCGCACCTGGTTTCGCAGCATAAAATCAAAACTTATTTGTTTGCGGTGTGCAAATGAAATGTAGTTGGTTGAAGAAGAGGCTACTCGTAAGTCCATGCGCTTTGCCATCGGTAGGAATTCTATTCAGCATTTCGAGACTATAAAATGGTTCTGCAAATACTTTTCAATTAAGTAAAAAAAAAACTCCAAAAGGAGTCCGGATTCCGTTTTATCTACTTTGATGAAGCAACTCAACTAACACGACGCATGAAATTAATAAAATTAGGAAAATGACTACGCTCCATGTACTTTTGCCTGAGTTTGGCACGTGCAATTTTTCTCTAGTTCGGATAAAAAATGCTTCAGAAATACGGATGCAATAATTGTGCATTCTAGTACCAGGAACTGCCTCCAGCTATCACTCGTATTTGTATAAAAAGTGGGGAAACTAATCGAGTCACATCCACGGAGATCAGGAAATCTGTCTAAGTGACACAACAAACAGTTTAAATTTAGGGAAAAACATTAGACCATGACAGAATGGGGCGAATTATTGTTTGCTATATCCAGTTGTCAAAGGAGGTGGTTCGTTTTAAGTCCTCATGCCTGTATGACCCTTGAAACTAGACACTGTATTTTAGTGAAAACCTACTTTCCCATTAAAAGGGTAGGTGTACGCACGGTTTTAGTGAAGGGGACGTCTAAATCGCAGGACAACTCAACGCGGGAGCCGTTGATCGCATTGTGAATTCTTTCACAAACTGCCACCCAAACCAATCCTGAAATACAAAACACAAGTCAAAACTACACAGTACATAATTAAAAAACTAATTATTTCACCATTACTTTATAATACATAATTCACTTTGACTTGTTATACTGTTGCACAGATGAAGGATACATTTTTAAGCTACCTCTGCTAAGTTTTGACTTCTTTATTTTGCTTCTCCCTGATTGGGCAAAAATTAGGTTTTAAAATAGAGGTGCATTTTTGTCGCATGCCTTAACACGCAAATTTATTTGATTAGTCTTGCGATAGCATTATCTTTGAGGAATCATTGCTATTTTTCATTGTTGTGAAATAAGTCCATTGCTACGGTCTCGCCCCTAATCAAACAAAGAAGAAAAAGTGCATGTTCTGCAAAACACCGACAAAACAAGCCTCTCTCCATGCGCCACTCCGAAGTGACTCTGCTAGAGCACTTATTTGGCAGACACTTTGGAGTCTTTTAGTAAAATAGGACTGCGGAACACAACCTTTTAAGTGGCAATATTCCCATCCGTGAGACTGCGTGAAGTTAGTAGCATTCGGGCAAGCTCCGGGAGCTTAAAGCCTAAGTAGCGGTTCTCTTTGGTTAAAGCAAAGTAGGTATTTTTATCGCCACATTCCATGAAGCTAATTGGCTTCCACGCGATTAAAGTTGCAGAAGTGCAAAGTAAATAGGGAGTTTCGGCAGATCCAAAAAGTAACTTGTTATACGAATTTTATTTGAGGTCGAGTAAATTATCTATAGAACTTGAACAAGTACGAGGCGATCGGGATCCAGATGTCTGGTTTTTGTGGATATTTAATTAAGGCTTTGAAGTTTATTTTCATTCGCGGTGTAATTTTGGGGCTCGAGATAGGACTGCTGCAAACAAGTAATAAAAAATGCAAAACTTTAATATGGAAGCATGAAATGGCTGTTTGCTGTGGGAAATCTGGTTTTCTATATAACGCAGTCAATGAATAGGCAAACTTTAAATAGTTTTTTTTATCTTCATAGGTCCAATAAAATCAAGTCATTTTTCACCCGTATTGTGCTAAGTAAGAATTTAAAAAGTGGTAAAATGGATGTTGGGAATGAGACACTAAAAAAGGAGGCAAAAGCGTTTAAATCTATGTCCCACATCACAGCAAGGGTAGTCTTGCTACAGACGTCCGAATTACAAGCAAACGTACCGGGAGCTGGTAGTACGAGGAAGATAAGGGTCCAAGGTCTAAAAGGTGTCATTTGTGCAAAGTGCTTCTGAAAGTTGTGAAAGTATTGTTTACAATGATGCCGCAGCGATGGTGTGAGCAATTACTCGTCCCTACTTTCCCATTGGTCGAAAGACACCCAATTGATAGTGAGTTTGTACACTAAGTAGCTATGCAACATTCCCGTGTTTCAAGGGGAAGTAGTAAATTTTCCCCATCTACTAGGCGCAATTGGCGGCTTTATTCTGCCAATGTCCTGAAGGTCGCGACTTAAAAACATGAAATCGGAAGTAAAGTTGACGACCAATTCCACCTCCTAAATAGCGTGTGCCTACACTTGATCAGGTACGTACGGCTATGCCGGTAGCCAAGAGGTCAAGTCCTTCTACAGGCTGTCGTTACCTATTCTGCCCAAGTAATGTGCCTTTTTTTCTCGTCAAGGAAGGCTCGGGGCGCTACATATTAACTTGATCTATTCGTCCGTGGATTAAAATTCAAAATGGAAGCTCCTTTTAGGCAGTACTTCCTCCACTTCATTAAGATTTCCCGATTTTCAGGTTAAAGTGACAAGGTTGTAAATTCAGGTAATCAGAACATCCTCAGCAAAATAGAAGGTTTACTTTTAAAAAATGCTTCCAAATTTTTTCGCTTTTATCAATGGGGTGGTGAGAAGTTTCTCGCTGCAGCAGAATGCAGTCCCTATTACAACAAATGCTCCATCGAAAGGAACCTAAACTGGAATGGACACGCCTGATTTCCCAAGGCAAATGGACTTGGTCTTTAAAGAAATTTTCCAGCAGCTTTGCATATTCCTCCAACTTCGTTTCCAGAAATGACATTTTAGATGAAATACCAGTAGATTAATGAAGAGAACCTCAAAGTTTGAGAATAACCCGGTAGTGCCACCGCAACTACCTTGAAAATTTGACATAAATGTAGTTTTGAGAGGCGACTCGACGCTTCGCCTCTATCCATGACGTGTGAGGTGATGCTCTTCACACCACCGAACCCACTTGGTAGGATACAGTGATCTGAAGAGGGGGCCTACTCATGCCGCCAAAAATTGGCATAAAGCGTCAAAATGGGCAAGTGTCAATTAGGCTATGAATGTTTGCGAAGCGGTTATCAATTTAGCTAAAAGGAATTACTTGAGAGCTCTTAAATGATGGCTTGGTGATTTGCCTATTCAGACCCCTTTCTGTGCATTAAAACAAAGTTCAAATTGGCCATTCCACTTTGATATGCCCTACGGGCATTTAATTGTGCTGTTTTTCCTTAAAACCGACCAGAATATAGTTGTTACCGATTCATATAGCAAAGGAAATATGATAATAGTATCTGTAAAGAGTGTAGTAGGATGATACGGAATGTGAAGAGCAGTCCCTTTAAGTATAAGAGATCCCTTTCTCCCTTGCTTCGGGGGAGGAAGGGAACTGCCCCTTCAAAATCATCGTCTGCCACTTATCATGAAAAGGTTGTCTTCATCCCAAATTATGGGTTATCTAAGATTTCAGGAAACTTTTTTTCCTTCTCTCCTTTAATACTACACTTCTTCAAACATTCCGTATGCCATAATTTTCAGCTCTCAACCAACGGGCTCCGTGCAATATGCCTTAACCACATCATTAGTTTTAACAATAAGACCCTCCACCAAAAGAATGTACTGAAAATTTTTGTACAGGCGGTCAAGCCGTACTGCCTTCGAACCCGACCGCGTCGTCTCCCGCCCCTCTCCAATCTGTGCTAAAGGGGGGAGAAAATAAAACACATTCACCGCCAGTTAACGGTATTTGTAGTGGTGGATGTAGCACTATTTTCTAGTACCAAAAACGGAGACAGTCACGCAATTCAAGGATACATCACTCGTGGGTGCAGTCGGACTTGATTCATTCCCCTTCGTAGTCCCACACTCACTTACCCCTCTGCTTCCGCCTCCCCTCCCCACATACTTTACATCATGACAGAAGTGCCTGCTGCTTCCTCTGCTTTTGGGAGGAATGATGCCAAAATCACGCCGGGCAGTGTAGTGTATCACCACCGTTTGATTGTCAAAGTTTAACCCCTCACAAAATTGGGGTGAGTAAATGGTTGTGGTGGTGGTGTCACGTTGTGCCTTTACACTTAAAATTAAAATATATAGTTGGTCTGCTGTCGCTGTCGGGCTAGATGAAATGGTTTATTTTTTCTTACAGCGGTCTACTGCTTTTACTTATTACTTTCACAATTTATGCCATCTAGGTAATATATATATACACACAAATTATTTCAGTTGCCCCATCCGGTAAGCACATCAGTCTTACATTTAATTAATTTTACGTGAAATCTGTGCTTTAGTTTAATCACTTATCCATGGGTTAAGTTGTTCCAATGAATCCTCACCATCATTAAATTGCTTTGTTTGCAAGACTTTGATGGATTGTTTGCCTCTAGGGTCTGGTATCCGGTCACTTATGGCTCTGCAATTGTACCTACGCCGAGCGGTTTGGCCTCCAGGCCATGCCAGTAGCTCCGAGCCACTACCTATTCTATTCTAGCATTTCATCTTCTTTTTTCTCTCGGGAAGTCTTAAGAGAGAGCACTTTTTGCACCTGTCCTTCCCCAGTTGAAGGGAAGGTTTGAAACGCTGGTGTCAAATAAACAAAGGGTGAATTTTGTTTCTTTTTTGGTTTAGAATACATCGACCATATTCCCGATACTGAAAAAGCCGGTTCTACTCAATTTGTCAAGGTTTGGCAAAAGGCTGTTCCCTTTGAATAAACCAACTACCTGGCCAGACCTCACAGTTCGTTTGTCAGATTTATGCGTGCAGACGATCTCAATAAAAATTTTGAGACATCAACAAGCATGACTAGGAGAAGTTACACTGGTTACGCCAGTTTCTGTACTTCTTTTCCATGTTTGCATTAAATATGAACAAGACAGGGTCTGATGGTATATAATGTCAATTTTGTCCTTAAAATTGGCATTTGTTATGGTTAGGCGAGTACTTTTGCGTTAGTAATGACGACTCGACATCTGCTATTTTAGTGTCACACAAACAATTACTTTTGACACCTGCGTTGACATTATGGAGCTCAGTCAAGCTTGAAGCAGGACACCACCATTGAGTGGGCTTTGTCTATTGCGACTGTACTTATTCAGTTTGTTGCCCTATTTACTCTACGCCATCATGCCTCATTCTAACCTTTATGTGCTGTCATAACAAGAGTGGGATGCGAACAATCAGACAGCATTGTAGAGATCAGATTATGAGCTATAAACTGAGGGTTTAATTCGTTACACTTTACATATTATGTGTATTAAATTGTTCATGAAGCTGCACCTTCTTTTTGATCAAACCGTTCCTAATGGGGTGAGCTTGACTTGACTTTATGCTCACCAGGGTCTTTTTAGAAGTCCCACTTGGCCACCACCCACCGTGTCTGGATTCCTGGGTTTGGCATATGGGAAAGCTGTTTAGACAAAGTGTATGTCCGTCACCGACCCATTTGATACCATGTATAGGCACGTCTAAGTATTAGATAGCACAACAGGAAGGAAGAATAAAGAGGACTAGAACATTTTAGCTTTGCGCTTTCGGCTAAATATCGGCCCAGTAATGGCATTGTTGGTCCCATTGTTTCAGGTTTGCTCACTTTTTTCTATTTTGTCGGTAATTGGGCACTTTATAAACCCTAATTTTGCACACTTATTAAAGTAAATATACGACTGAATGTGTGGAGGATAGACATAAATTTCACAGGTCATATGTAGCATATAGCTGAAATCAGATGTCGATCTCTGGATAGGGTATAGTACAAAAGAATTATCTTCGGAATTACATAAGTTGAGCCATTTCAAGGGGCAAGTAGCAGGTTTGGTTTGTTATTACTTTATCGGCTTGGGTACCATATGACTTCTGGTCCTCTGTCCTGTCTGTATTTTAAATTAAACTAAAGGGGGCGATTTAATATGGATACCTTAAGACGCTATCGATAAAAAATTCAAGAAAGAAGGTTTCCTTCCCTGAAATGAGGCATTATAAAATATGCGAACCCACTGCCATTTACTTAATTGCCCATTAATTCCACAATTAAGCAAAAGTGATCAAAAATTACATTTGATTAGGGACATAGCCAAGGCATATCCCAAACTTAAGGAATTTTAATTAGGAAAGATGAGCCCAAACGTGAGAACATTTAGTCTTTATTAAAGTCTCAAAATCAACTAAGCAGAGAGTCATAACCCTATACTTAGAGGGAAAGTTAATCGAATATGTTGTATGGTCTCATAATATAATTATATGAAATTTGTAAGGTACACAGCAAAATTTACAGCGTTATCAGGCCTATGGCAATTACGATTTGCATGTCTTAAATAGTAAGTATGATATAATAAAACAACGATTAACAAATAATGAGAAATTCCGCTCACTTTGCACTCCCTACAAGGTACGCAGATGATTGGTTCTTTGTCAGCTGATCATTATGTGATGTGTGTGCGCGCATTTATGAATGGAATCGAGGTGATCCTGAATGAGAGGTTTTACAAACCTGGCGATGTTATATATGGGTAAGATTTCATTTTCGTTTAAACGCTTAGTGCTATCTTCTATCGTCAATTGAGACCATTAAATGTGAATACTATTACCGCCCAAATAAGATGTAATTTAAAGTGTGGGGCTCCTTTGTATTAATTATGCTGTGTTTGAAGGCTCACATCAAGGCAATGAAGTAAAAAAAAGTTATGATCAATCCCCCGTTGAAATATTCCACTTGCAAGGTGTGCCTTTTTAATTGGTATTCATGCTTTCAGAAAACTTTCACATAGGATATTATTCTTTCCCTTTTGAGTTACATTTGCCTTCGTCTGCTGATAGTGAGTCTATGTCTTACTAATCCCTGGAGACAGTGCCTATTTTTATAATTCATCCAACCTAAATGGGTCTTGCCGCCTTATGGTCGAATATGACGTGACAGCTTGTGCCCTAAATGGTTCCTGCAAGATATTTATCGCCAAATCGCGCTTTTTCACATTCACCCCCATTAATTTTAAGGAAGTACCGAACAATACTGTACAAACACTTAGACCTAGCATAAATGGCCCGGAAGTGAACATGAAAATGCATTCTTCAGCACCCTTTGCTTTACAAGTTGACACAACTCTTGTTATGGACAAGGGGATAAAAAAGTTGGATATGCTTACAACTAATGCCTCAAAAAAGGCCCTTCCTGGAGTATCGGTGAAGTTTTCCACCAAAGACCCTTGCTATTCTTTAGGTGACTGCGTGACAGTCACCTCCTCTCTCTCCATTTCAGAGCATATGCATATTGACTCAATTAGTTACCGAGTAAGTTGTTATCTGCAGATTCTGTTGCCTAATCTTCACTGTCGATTACACAACTTAGGCAAATGAGTATAATTGCTTTGCTTACAGTCCTGTCTATCACCCGTAATTTATACTTCTTAAAGCGCAAACGCAAACTTTATTCTTTGCTCAATCATGTGTGATTTTTGTAATCAGGCAGCTAGGTGTGTGTTTCGAAATTGTCCTTCATATGGTGCCACTTTTACTTGATTGATTTGCAGCTGCTAAGGCACGTGAAGTTAAATTCGAGTTTAGCTAGTACTCCTGACGATAGTCAGGTTTCTGATGTACTTTTTGGTGCCATTCGACCCGCGGTAACGCATGATGCTGTGACGGATCTGGTTGAATTGCCTTTACCCTGTGCTTCTCTTAATGACTGCGTCTGGACGACGGATGGCTCTCTCTTTTCTGTAAGTTTGTAGGAAATGCTTTTTACACTGTCTTTGTCACTTGCATTTATTTCACAGCTCACCTTGTTTATAGCAATATTTTTTTGGCTAGGTACCATGCCTGCTTTTGTGCAAACATTTCACTGAGCTTTTTCTACTTCGGCTCAAAATTCCAGGATTGTGAACGAGTGTCTCCTTGTAAAAAGACTTTTTTGTTTTCTCATTAGCCCGCAATTTATTTTCGGCTATTAATAGTAATCTGCACTTTTAACACTAAGCTGGCTGAACTGTGTTGTAGGGAGCACTAAAAGCCATGAAAAAGGCACCCCCTTTCTTTCACTGTGTAACTCGTTTTTGAAATCAATCGCCTTTTCGAACTAACATACCTTACGAGCACTTATCTAACCTTCAATGTGCATCCTAAATTTTGCCTTTGAAATGGCTTTGGGCTTTAAAAATCTGATTTTTTACGTAAGCAATAATCGCTGTTAGTAGGAGTTGCTATTGAGATTAATTTGCAAATGTCTGGTAATACTGAGAAGATCGGATCTATTTAAATGTGCTGGAGATGGTAAATTGAAAGCTCACATTATTATGGCTGTGGTGGTCCAGTTCTTGTTCACGTCGTATTTTTAGTCTTCCAAAGAATCATAAAGATTTAAGAAAGCTTAGGAGTTAAGGCGGTCACGAGCATGTTGGTTTTATTTTTGGCAATAGGGCTGATGCCAAATAAACTAGATAAATAAGTAATTTATGCCACTTAATGATTGGCAAAAAAAGAAACTGAACAATTCATGTGATGTGAAACCTGGTAAAACTATCCAAAAAATATCTACTTAAATGCTACGATCACCATCCTGTTCCGGAGATTCTGTACTTTGACCGTTTGTGCTATAAAAGCGCCACGGCAATCCAGGTGTAATGAAATGTTTCAAATAGAAATTGTAACACGCGCTGCCGTGTGAGTCTTGCCTTTTAATTACGAAAGATTGGCGGATGAAATCATTTGAATTACAATGGGATATGGTTGAGAGAATTGATTCAAATCACACATTTCATTTTACCGTTCCCCATAGTTCCGACTACGTTTCACACTCCTCTAAGTCGAGGTACTCACAATTCAAGCACTTTATTTGGAAGTACAAAGAATTGTCTATAAGGTTATGCCAGATAGAGTAATTCTCACGAATTCCATAAAGTCTACCGCTGCAGATCACAACTATGATGATGTGGAGCTGACTGTAAAAACTTGGCACCATCGATGTGGTGCTGTTGCCTTTTGTCCTCGTTGAATTTGCAAATCACCAGGGCAAAAATTGACGCACAAATTATGGTTCTTCTTAGATAAAATGAATGCCAATTTGAGTGGAAAAATGGTAGCTGTCTATACCATTTACTTCCAGATTGGTAAAAAGAAATTGCGGTAAGTGTGTTGCGTTGTGATCACGACTGTCTCAGCGGAGCACCGCGTGGAGACTTAGTTTTCGCCACATTTCTCACGTTTTTAGTCACAATAATCCTTCATTCCAATACATTTTGTATATTTTTTTCTAACATGCCAAACATGCTTGAAGTTTCTTATTGGAAATATATTTCAACTCCTCGAAAATAGGGATATTTTATGGCAGTAACCGTGCAGGATCTTTAGCTAAGGCGGTAGCATCTCGGGAAATTAACAGGTGTTGCATGAAAAAGAGGACGTCGACATGCGAATCAAGGTCTTGGTGTTGCTAAACGGTAGTACTAGACAGAAAATTGCGATAGATAATTTATGGCCCTGTTTGGACACAAAAAGTTAGTAGTTCACTTCAGCTTGGATGAGAAGGTCTAATAATCCTAGTTGCGTCTCGATTCCAGAATTACTATTTCCTGATTCTCACGCACTTAGTGTCGTTATGAAGTGGAGGTAACCATAGCTATCTCCCTGGACTCCAGTATCACCACAACCGTGGGCAACGTTGAATATCCTCCGATCACCCTTACCCTACCCGTGAAAGTGGTGCCGCCGCAGATGAGTAAGGAGCCCTGCCTTCCTCCTTGGACGTCCCTGTGTCTGGTCGCCTTGGCTGAAGATGAGCCGGGCGTATCGCCTCAGTTGTCCAAAGCGGTAATTCAGGAGTGGGGTAACCTCCCTGGCGCATCTTTTGAGCCTTGCCAAACTGTCAGGATTCATGGTGGGCAACGCGGCACCGCTGGGCTCACGCCCTCCGCTGCTCAAAGTCAGTTCCACTAAGTGGATCTTCCTTATTCGGGTTTTTCGCTATCATGTCAGATTGTACGATGGACCTTGTAGGTATGGCTAAACTTATAGTAAGTTTGCTCATTTTATTCCAGAAGACGTAACGCGTACTAGATTCGAAGAAATTATTATAAGTATGCAGGCTTCAGAGACTATGATCTTCTATACCGCCAGCATGTAAGCTGATTCGCAGGAAACTGTAGGGTGTCGGGTAGCTGTGTACATCTTCTTGTTTTGAGCTTCGTTTTTGAGTCTACTATTAGGTCTTGTAATTCTTTAACGTCTAGACTTCATTTGGCAAGTACTTGTAAACTTTAATTTGTACTACACTTTGATTCGCCATTTTGTCGCAAACACAAGTTTATATTTCGCTTCTGAGGGACCCAACTTTTGGTTCGGGTAATTACCCCTTCCTGCCTGTTTCAAATGATCAAGTACATTGATATTGAAATGAAATAAAATAATAGCTTTTCGCTATGCTGAAACTCACTATTATCTGGGTTCTTATCCTCGCCTAATTTGTTCTTCCCTTTAGTGGAAACAACTACTAGTTTCTTTTAAGGATTTGCATGTCTTTTAGCTTTTGGTGGCTGACTTACTACGGAATCCTAATGGCGCTGAAGCTGTTATAAATCGTTTCAGCGAATAAACACCATCTTGTCTTGATCGCTGGCCGGAAGTGAACTTGTTGGACTGTTGAAGGATGCACCGCACACTAATTAGTAAAAATCTCTCCACCTGAACACTTTTTGGCATTCACTGTGTTTATTGTGTAACTGTATCTTAAACACTCCCAAATTGACAACCAAACAGTCAGTCTAAGGCAGTGGTGTGCATTTTGAATGGTGCTCTGATGGCTCCCTGTAATGCCAACTTCATGAGACATTCCAAATTCCCTGCTGTGAAAGTGGTTAACTACCTGGAATGAAATGTTTCACAGGCATCCGTGGCATGACGTTTATTCTATCAAAAAATACGGGAAATTCTTCCTTGCTAGACTGGTGTCGGGTTCATCTCCCACTGTTTACTCCGCGCACCACCTACTTCAAGTTATGAGCACTCTTCCAAAGATGCTTCGAAGCAACGAACGTGAATTGCCTTTAAAGGTTGTACAACCACAGCCACAGAAAATGCACCCGAATAGTCAGAAATCAAAGTAATCTCGTGAGCCGGTTTTGCGTGGATATTGCCCTGACTGGTACTAGCAAACTTTGGGTTGACTTCATGACGTCCTTCGGTAGTTTTTTCTACTTGTTTGATGTTCGCATATTATTTCGTTGTAGGTAACCCAGAATTCCGCAAAATTCCTGTCTTTCGCCACCTTGGGGCAACACAACTTTGATACGTATATACATTTGCCGAACGGAGTTTTCATTTTTTCCATGTCAAGTCGTTCTGCTACTATTTCGGTAGTTTTCAATGCTTCATTTGTATTTTACAACAGTCTGATGAAATTTTAATCTGTAATAAACCTTTGCATGTTTATTCTTGCACCATAGGTGCCTCAAAATCAGCATGGGGTCGGGTGCTTCCGAAAAGGGCGCTAATCTGGGCGTGCTGATGTTAAAAGACTGGGTTTTTTATGGCATTTCGCTATCAATTCTTGTTCGGGTTCGGAACAAGGTGTAGGGATTGTTGTAGTTGAAGGCGGTTTTCTGGGTTGAGGTTTGTTCTGTGTGAAACGGTACTATTCACTGCAGCTTTTCGCAATCTCTGTAGTGTGTGTTCCCACCTGGCTGCATGGTCTGCCTATAGCACCTAGTCAGCCTGTTTGTTGACGCTAGTGTTTTTAGGATTCGGAAATGTATGAGTAAATTAATCCTAGAGTGACTACGTCCATGTTCGATTCGAGGAGAAGTTCCAAGTAGGAAAAGCCTCGATTATCCCCTGCTAAAAACCCGGATGATTTGCAACAAACTGCAGATGCACGATTTATTATTTAGATAACTTTCGATATGGATACCCGGTGTGCAAAACTACTATTAAAGTGATTCATAAGTCCCTATTTCAACGAATTGACTAATCAGTGCGTGGCGCAGTAGGCATTGAGAACTTTACGTACCCCTAATGCACTAGTTCCCCTCAGACGTGACCATGTGGTATGCATCCATGAGTTCTGAAACTTTTAAATGCCTAATGATCTCATATCAAAATAGAATGATCAAAAGATGGATTTGATCCGCAGTTGGTAGATTTAAATATTTACAACTGGCTAGCATACTTAAATGTTGGGACAGATTTTATGGTAGTACTCCTCACACTGTTTAGATGCAGC